GTTCAAGCAATCCTCCCACCTCAGCCTCCCAAATAGCTGGGACCACAGCCACGCACCACTACAAAAAAAATAATTTTTGTATTTTTTGTTGAGATGGGGTTTTGCCATGTTGCCCAGGCTGGTCTTCAATTCTTGGGCTCAAGTGATCTGCCGGCCTTGGCCTCCCCAGGTGCTGGGATTACAGGTGTGAGCCACTGTACCCATCAGCTTCTTCTGAAGAATGGGTTCACACCAGCACTTAGGTTGTAGGATCATGGTGAAGAGTGATTGCATTCATTCATGCTAAGAGCTTATCAGTGCCTGGTACACGGCATTGTCATCATTGTGATGACAGGGGCAGGGCCCACACACCTACACCCTGGAGGGGGATGGAGATGGGTCCCAAGATCTGGGATCTGGTCTTCAATTTGGTAGGCCCAGAAATTGAATTTTCTGCTCACCCAGCTAGTCGGTGTTAGAGCCATGATTCAAACCCTGGCCCCACCAGTTCCAAACCCCCTGTATACCAGGAGGTCCAGCCTCCATAGACACTATCCCTGCTGCCTCTTTCAGTGGCAGTTGGGCTGGTGTCCCTCTGAGTCACAGCTGGCAGGAGGGAAACCCTTGGATTCACAGAGTGATATGCTTAGGGAATCACCCTCCTTTAAGCCTTGGGAGAGGAGAACTCCCCTAAGTGTACAAAGCGTGTACACAGACCTTGTCACCTCTTCCCTTCACTGCAGTCCTATGAGGTATGAATGAATGATCCTATTTCCAAATGTGGTTAACTGAGACCCAGAGAGGATGGGGAAGAAGATGCAAACTGGATTAAATACCCCGATGTTCTCTTTTGTCTGTTTGTTTGAGACAGTCTCACTCTGTCACCCAGGCTGGAGTGCAATGGCACGATCTTGGCTCACTCCAACCTCCACCTCCCGGGTTCAAGTGATTCTCGTGTCTCAGCCTCCTGAGTAGCTCGGATTACAGGCACGCACCACCACGCCCGACTAATTTTTGTATTTTTAGTAGAAACGGGGTTTCACCATGTTGTTCAGGCTGGTCTCAAACTCCTGACCTCAGGCAATCTGCTTGCCTTGGCCTCCCATAGTGCTGGGATCATAGGCATGAGCCACTGCGCCCGGCCAAATACCTGCGATGTTTTGAGCTCCGTGCAGGGCGCTATATGTACATCACCTTCACGAGACCCTCCTCCCCAAGTTACTTTCCTCATTTCCTAGAGGGGAAATGAGGAAAACAGCTCAGAGAAGGGGAGAAATGTGCTCAAAGCTCATCAGCTGGAAAAAGACAGGACGAGGAAACCTTTCCTTTTCCATCAGACACAGTCCCCTTGTGATGAGAACATGCAGTCGGTGACTAGGGAGCTCCTCAGGGTCAAGGGTGCTCATCTCTGAATGCAACCCCTCCCCTGCAGACCTGGCAGGGTCTGCAAATAGTGACATTCCTTTTTTTTTTTGAGACAGAGTCTCACTCTGTCCCCAGGCTGGAGTGCAATGGCATGATCTCGGCTCACTGCAACCTCTCTCTGCCTCCCAAGTTCAAGCGATTCTCCTGCCCCAGTCTCCCGAGTAGCTGGGATTACAGGTGCCCACCACCATGCCCAGCTAATTTTTGTATTTTTAGCAGAGTCAAGTTTCAACATGTTGGCCAGGATGGTTTTGATCTCTTGACCTCGTGATCTGCTCGCCTCAGCCTCCCAAAGTGCTGGGATTACAGGTGTGAGCCACCGCGCCCGGCCAAATAGTGACATTCTAACCATCGCCTGTGGAATAGGAGACATGCTTCTATTTGTTGAAATTGCCATCCCTCATGTAACCAGCCTGGGGAAGAACACTCAAGGGGGCATAACCCCCTCCACGGGCACAAACTGAGTCTTGGGCTCTGGTACAATCAGGGTTCTACTGAAAGCTTATCATTTCCCATTAGAGTTACCACAGCAACACGAATGTCTTCATTCATTCCCCTAGTGTATGAACAGAGCTACACCCACCCCATCTGTTCTCCCAGGCCCCCTCGAAGTCCTTCCATCTGTGAGATTCTGTGATTCAATTAATCATCACCAATGCCTGCACTGCTTTCTGTCATTTTCATTAATTCCATCTGCTGAGTCACCGTGTCCTGCTCTGGATCAGAGTGGTTATTCACAACGGTTATTCAGCCGTCGGTTGCCATGGACACCGCACAGCCTGCTTCCTTCCTCACCCATTAATTCTCAACAAGGCTGGCTGTGAGTGTGGGTACCACCGCCGTTACCCAAGACCCAAGGGGAATCAAACTCTCCCAGAAAAGGAGGGGGCCTGATGACGCGTGAACAGAAGCAAAATCTTTGCTCTCAACGGTGGAAAAATCAAAAACAGCCTACAACTCATTACATCCGGTCAAACCATGTGGAGGCAGCAGTTTATCGAATAAGTCAACAAGGTGCCGTTTTGTTTTCTGGTCCATCTTCGGCAAATGCTTTAGTCTGTTTGCTAACCATTTGAAGGTATACTTTGACACTGAAAAGTTGTTGGCTGGGCATGGTGGCTCACACCTGTAATCCCAGAACTTTGGGAGACCGAACCGGGCCGATCACGAGGTCAGGAGTTCGAGACCAGCCCGCCCAACATGGTGAAACCCCATCTCTACCAAAAATACAAAAAATTAGCCAGGTGTGGGGGCGTGCGCCTGTAATCCCAGCTACTTGGGACGTTGAGGCAGAAGAATCGCTTGAACCCGGAAGGTGGAGGTTGCAGTGAGCCGAGATCACGCCACTGCACTCCAGCCTGGTGACAGAGCTAGACTTTGTCTCAAAAAAAAAAAAAAAAAAGGTTGTTTTGCAGATTACTAGCTCCCCCTGAAAGCAAAATGAAGGAGGCTTGAGAGGCAGGACCCCCCAGGAATTGGCTCTGCATAGGGGGTTTGCAGGTGGTGGTGCATGGGCAGCTGACCTGGGAGATGTGGGGCAGCTACAAGCCAAACTCAGACCAGCACAGAAGGCCTAAGGAGAAGAAGGCGCCAAGGGTGTTCCATGGTAGGGGGAGGGTGAAGGGGCTTCAGAGGTGACCAGGATGTGAGCCACCAGAAGGAGAGAACAGGGCCATCAGCCCACAATCCATTGCTCCTGGTAACACGTTGTATTTGCAGAGTCCAGTGGAGGGGGCGGGGAATCAATACATCACCCCACATTCACACACTCATCAAACATCAGTGGATGGTGAAATCTACTTTCCCTGAATCTAAGCCCATCGGGTTCACTCCCTCACCTACCACCACCCACAAAAGTCCCTATGTAGTTCGAGAGATGAGTACCAGGCCTCTGACTCCCAGGATAGGTGGGGAGCATTGCTCCTGACCAAGGGAGCTTGGTTCCTGCCCCTTAGGTACAGCTGGAGAGCTGCCACCACCCCGCTCCAGCCCCTCACCATGAAGGTCAACTCCCCTATCCTTCCCCCACATCCTGGATGACTGACTGACACTAAATGACAGGGCGGGGCAGGACGATGGGCTGTACCTGTGCCCCACCCCATTCCTCTCGCCTGGACTCATATGGCAGGGTAGGGGTGGGGGGGCACAGTTGGGAGGGACCTCGAGGGCTTTATAAGGCAGGCCTGGAACACCAGGCAGAACAGAGACCTGAGAGGCACCAGACCCAACCGCCACACCACACACCTCCCAGCTCTGCAGGTGAGAAAACCCAGGAGGAGAGAGGAGAGGCTGGGAAGTGGGTTGACAGGTCCTCTCCCTCATCAAGGTATCAGGCCACTGGTCAGAGTCTGGGGCTCACCCCTTGGAGTCCCCAGAGCTGGGACCCTTTCTTTATCCCAGGATGGAACTAGGTCTTGGCTCCAGTACCTACCGTTGTATTCCCAGCCTTGCCTTCCACCTGCCCTCTGTCCCAGCCGGGGCTCTGCCCTTAACCTCTCCCTTCACACTCCTCCCCTGGGAGGTGAGGAGGACTGGGGTTCTTCTCCTCTCTCTTAGGTGAGAAAACTGAGGCCCAGAGGCAAGATGTGACTTGCCCAAAGTCACAGGGATTTTTAGGCAGGGCTGGGATGGGAATCCACAGCTCCTGGATCCCACTTCAAGCCCTTTCCTAGACTACTGCCATCCAAAAGAATGTCCTATGATGCGGGAAATGTTCTTTATCTGCACTGTTCAATATGGTAGCCACTAGCCACGTGTGTGCTTGAAATGGGGTTGGTGTAAGGAAGTTTGTTGTTGTTGTTGTTGTTGTTGTTTGTTTTTTATACAGAGTCTTGCTGTGTCACCCAGGCTGGAGTGCATTGGTGTGATCTCGGCTCACTGCAACCTCCGCCTCCCAGGTTCAAGCAATTCTCCTGCCTCAGCCTCCTGAGTAGCTGGGATTACAGGCGCCTGCCATAACACCCGGCTAATTTTTTATATTTTTGGTAGAGACAGAGTTTCACCATGTTGGCCAAGCTGGTCACAAACTCCTGACCTCAAGTGATCCGACCCCCTCGGCCTCTGAAAGTGCTGGGATTACAGGCGTGAGCCACTGCACCTGGCTGTAATTTTTTAATTTAATTAATTTAAATGTAAAGAGCCACACGTGACTGGTGGCTACAACACTGAACAACTAACATGTGGTTAGCATCTGACAGTACAGCTCCAGATCACTGAGTTTTCAAACGTTTCTTCAGCAGCAGAATTCTTTTCTTCCAAGGAAAACCTAACAGAGAACCTCATTATGAAAAACTTAATAGTCAGGCACCGTGGCTCATGCCTGTGATCACAACACTTTGGGAGGCTGAGGCAAGCAGATTACTTGAGCTCAGGAGCTCCAGACCAGCCTGGCAACATAGTGAGACCTCATCTCTACTAAAAATAAAAACAAATAAATTAGCTGGGCATAGTAGTGCACACTTGTAGTCCCAGCTACTCAGGAGGCTGAGGTGGGAGGACCTCTTGAGCCCAAGAAGTCGAGGCTGCAGTGAGCCCGGATCACTCCAGCCACTGCATTCCAGCCTGGGAGACAGAGCAAGATTCTGTCTCACAAAAAGAAAAAAAGAAAAACTTAAAAGCAGTACTTTATTAATACAAATGTATTCTGACAAGAGAAAATTTTTATCATTTTCTTATGATAAAGCCAATCAGAATAATGAGACTAAAAGAATACAAAAATCATGAGTCCAAGGAACAGATGACCATTTGAATTTTACGTTTGTTTGAGATTCCAGTTTAGTTCTGTATTATATCTTTTCCCCAAACTGGATTCACCCTGATACATAATTGCTAATGGTGACAGCTTAATTTTTTCGTAACTGCTTCATTATAATCACAGGATATTCCTCAGTTAAGCAAAAATGACAGGAGAACCTTTCCTCTCAGGGATGCACAAAAAAAACAGTGTGAGCTGGCCAAGCGTTGAATATGCTGCAGTCTCCAAAGTGATAACATGCGGTCTGTAACACAGTTGGATGTCTATGTTCCTTTGGTATTACTATTTAAAAGTTTCACTTTTTGTTTTTGCTTTTTTGAGACAGGGTCTCACTCTGTCGCCCAGGCTGGAGTACAGTGGTGCAATCTCGGCTCACTGCAACCTCCACCTCCAGGGCTCAAGCGATCCTCTCACCTCAGCCTCCCAAGTAGCTGGGAATACAGGTGCATGCCACCATGCCCGGCTAATTTTTGTATTTGTTGTAGAGATGGGGTTTCGGTATGTTGCCCAGGCTGGTCTCAAACTTGTGGGCTCAAGGGATCCGTCCTCCTCAGCCTCCCAAAGTGCTGGGATTACCAAGCCTGGCCTAAAAAGTTCACTTTAAATAAATGTGAAGACTCAAGCCGGGCACAGTGGCTCACACCTGCCTCTAATCCCAGCACTTTGGGAGGCTGAGGTGGGAGGATTGCTTGAGCCCAACAGTTCAAGACTAGCTTGGGCAACATGGTGAAACCCCGTTTCTACAACAAATACAAAAAAATTAGCTGGACATGGTGGTGCAAGCCTGTAGTCCCAGCTCTTCTGGAGGCTGAGGTGGGAGGATCACCTGAGCCCAGGAGGTAGAGGCTGCAGTGAGCAGTGACTGCACTACTGCACTGCAGCCTGGGTGACAGAGTGAGACTCTGTCTCAATAAATAAATAAATTACATGACTTAAACAGCTACAGAGCCACTAACATGGCCTCAAATTCTGCAGAACAGAACCTAGGAAAACCATTGCCCTAGGATTTGACTTTCTCCAAGAGAAGCAGTGGCTGTAATCGGGGTAGGTAAAGAGAGAAAACACGAGACTTCGGGGCTGGCGTGGAACTGGCAGAAACTGGAGAACTGAACTGAAGAAATAGTCCACAACTCCACATGGAATTACAGACTCACCCGGGCGCGGTGGTTCACGCCTGTAATCCCAGCCTTTGGGAGGCTGAGGCAGGTGGATCACCTGAGGTCAGGAGTTCGAGACCAGCCTGGCCAACATGGTGAAACCCCGTCTCTACTAAAAATTACAAAAATTAGCCAGGCATGGTGGCACGTGCCTATAGTCCCAGATATTCTGGAGGCTGAGGCAGGAGAATCATTTGAACCTGGGAGGCAGAGGTTACAGTGAGCCAAGATCCCGCCACTGCACTCCAGCCTGGGCAACAAGAGGGAAACTCTGTCTCAAAAAAAAAAAAAAAAAAAATTTCAGACTCATCAGCAGGTAGAGACCTGGAGCCACATGGTTCAGTCCTCTGCCTCTGGGCCTGTGTGGGGACAGCCTCACCCTTAAGCTAGTCCCTTCTCCCCTTTGCAGACGAGATGCAGCAACTGTGTGTGTATGTGCTGATCTTTGCCCTGGCTCTGGCTGCCTTCTCTGAAGCTTCTTGGAAGCCCCGCTCCCAGCAGCCAGATGCACCCTTAGGTACAGGGGCCAACAGGAACCTGGAGCTACCCTGGCTGGACCAGCAAGGCCCAGCCTCTCACCACCGAAGGCAGCTGGGACCCCAGGGTCCCCCACAATTCGTGGCAGGTAGGAGCTGCTGACTGCCTTGCTTGCCTCACTCGGCCAGGTTTGGCCAAGGTCTCCCCAGACTGGCCCTGGCTTCGGTTCCTGGAAGGCAGTCATCCTTCCCCCATTCTCGCCTTTCTCACCTCCTCAGACCCATCCAAGAAGCAGGGACCATGGATGGAGGAAGAAGAAGCAGCCTATGGATGGATGGACTTTGGCCGCCGCAGTGCCGAGGATGAGAACCAACAACCCTAGAACCAAGCTTCAGAGCCCAGCCACCTCCCACTCCACCCCAGCCCTATCCCCTGAAAAACTAATCAAAAATAAACTAGTTTCCAGTGGATCAATGGACTGTGTCAGTGCTGTAGGGCAGAGGAGGGGGACTCATCTGGGGGTGAAGTTGTGGCAGGGAGGAGAGCTGAATGCCTTTTAGGGGCAGGGACCCTGGCTCCCCCAGAGCCCCACATCGAACAAGAATCCACAGGTGTGGGCAGGATAACAGATGGTAGGGTTCATAGCCAGAGTCAACTTTTTTTAATTTTTATTTTATTTTATTTTTTGAGATGGAGTTTCACTCTTGTCGCCCAGGCTGGAGTGCAATGGCACGATCTCGGCTCACTGCAACTTCTGCCTCCCCAGTTCAAGCTATTCTCCTGCCTGAGCCTCCCAAGTGTCTGGGATTACAGGTGCCCGCCACCACACCTGGCTAAATTTTTTGTAGTTTTAGAGGGGATGTGGTTTCACCATGTTGGCCAGGCTGGTCTTGAACTCCTGACCTCAGGTGATCCGCCCGCCTCGGCCTCCCAAAGTACTGGGATTACAGGCGTGAGCCACTGTGCCCGGCCTCAGAGTAAGCTTTTTAAAAGATAAACCGTGTCACTCTCGGTTTTAACCTTGCAATGTTTCCTAATGCACTTAGAATACAACCTGAACTCCCTGTCACAGCCCTGAAAGCTAGCCCCGAGGTTCTCCTCCCACTCTGCGCCACGTGGCTTCCTCCTCTTCCTCCTCTCGAGCTTATGCAGACGTGCCATGTTCTCTCTTTCTCAGAGCCTCTGACTTTGCCGTTCCCTGTGCCTGCAATGCTCTTCCCCAGGCACGAATATAGTGGGCTCCTCTTTCCTCCTTAGCTCTTGGGTGAAATGCCTCTTCCTGAGAGACCGAACCCTTCTGCTCCTCACCCTTCACACATAGACCCAGTTATTCTCTACCATGGGTCAAATAAAAGAGAAAAAATCAAGCTTTTTAAAGAATGAATGCTAGTTTTATTCAGAAGTCTTACAGAGGACTATAGATTGAGGCCTCCAGCCCAGGAGCAGACTCTGGCACGATGTTTCAGCCCACTGCTTATATACAGCTGGGGGCTGAAGGTGGAGGTTCTGTATATGCGAAATCCCATCAGACTTGCTCAGAATTACATGACAGCAGAATCACAGCAAGGTTTGGGTCCTAGACCACAGAGGCATCATCACTAACCTCGTCAGATGTCATCTTGGAAATGTTACGTGTCGGAAAAGCCAGGGACTAGGATCGTTTCTCTTTTAAGAAATGTGAAGACTCAAGCCGGGCACAGTGGCTCACGTCTGTATTCCCAGCAGTCTGCGAGGCCGAGGAAGGTGGATCACTTTAGGCCAGGTGTTCGAGACCAGCCTGGCCAACAAGGTGAAACTCCGTCTCTACTAAAAATACAAAAATAAGTGGGCACGTGCTTGTAGTCCCAGCTACTCGGGAGGCTAAGGCAGGATAATTGCTTGAACCTGGGAGGCAGAGGTTGCAGTGAGCCGAGATCGCGCCACTGAACTCCAGCCTGGGTGACACAGCAAGACCCTCTCTCAAAGAAAAAAAAAGATGAAAAGAAATGTAGTGACTCAGCCAAGAGACGTGTGGGGCCTTGGGCTGTCTCCTGTGCTGTCTTCAAAGCATCTTTCCAGAGGGCTGCACGTCTGTAGTCACAGAGTCAGGGGCTTTGTGAAACTGCCGACAAGCAGAAAGGAGTAAACACGGCTTCTTAACGTTTGTTGCTTTGTCTCACAACAGCAAAATATTTTCTTTAGCGCACATTTCACAATCTGTAGTTGTTTTGTTTGCCAGTTTATTGTCTGCCTCTCTGGCGAAACAGGAAACTGGGAGTGTGACAAGTCCCCCCTCCCTTCTGTATCCCCCGTGGCAAGAATAGTAGGAACCCAATAAATATTTGTAAATAATTGTTCATGAGTGGCGGGTGCAGGCATTGCTGGTGTCTCACCCCATTCCATCATTGTTCTTGTGCCTGTTGACAGCATTACCTCAGGGCTGTAAGAGAGGGAAAGTGGGCTGGGCCCGGTGGCTCACGCCTGTAATCCCAGCACTTCCGGAGGCCAAGGCGGGCAGATCACAAGGTCAGGAGATCGAGACCGTCCTGGCTAACACGGTGAAACCCCATCTCTACTAAAAAATACAAAAAAAAATTAGCCGGGCGTGGTGGTGGGCACCTGTAGTCCTAGCTACTCGGGAGGCTGAGGCAGGAGAATGGCGTGAACCCAGGAGGCGGAGCTTGCAGTGAGCCGAGATGGCGCCACTGCACTCCAGCCTGGGAGACAGCAAGACTCTGTCTCAAAAACAAAAAAAGAGGGAAAAGGTTTTCTGTACCCATCTTAGGTCCATGGCTGGGGCTCTGTAATAAAAGACAGATTACAAGAGAAAAGCAAGCAAGTTTATTAACATGTGTATCACACATTCAACACACGGAGTACCCAGAGATGAATAACTCAAGAGAGATAGCTTAGAATTCAGGCTCACGGTGTCTGCGGCCACACCACCCTGAACGCGCCCAGTCTCATCTGATCTCGGAAACTAAGCACGGTCAGGCCTGGTTAGTACTCGGATGGGAGAACTCAGGCTCACAGAGCATCTTCAACGAAGAACAATACATTCACAGGCAAGATAAAGGACAGCAACTTTTAGAGTTCCAAGGGTGGCTGTGTGTGGGAAACGGCTTTCTACCCATGGGAGCTGAGCCTGTCCCCACTCAGGGCTGGGTCTGGTAGCCAATGGGCCTCCCCCTGGCTTCTCCCACTCCCTGGGCCACCGGTGACCCAGGCCCGGCAGTCACAGCTCTTGAGCCAGCTGCAGAACGAGGGCTGGGGTTCCTACTGCGTGTCCCAGAAGAGGGCTGAGGTTTGGACCCCCAAGATCCAGCCTAGGTTGGACTTCCAGGAGTGGCTAACTGTGAATGGGGAAGCAGCTATATGGAAAACGAGTGGTAGATAAAGGCTAGTGGGTCAAATTTGTTATGGAGATTGCGCTGAGGCCACTCCAGGCTGAAAAGGGTCTAAA